AAATTGGGGGCAATGGGGCAAATGTGTTAGTGGAATTTGAAAAAAAAATTTTAACTGGGGTCATTTTTTATTAAATTGGGGGCATTTTTTTTTTAAATTGGGGGCAATGGGGCAAATGTGTTAGTGGAATTTGAAAAAAAAAATTTAATTGGGGGCATTTTTTAAAAAAATTGGGGGCATTTTTTTTCAAAATTGGGGCCAAAAAATTGTTTTGGGATCGAGAAAATCAGCTTTTTTGGGAATTATATTGACCCCTGGGAGAAAATGGTTGAAGATGACTAATACCACGCAACCGTGTACAGTTGATTTTTCATAATATTTTTTTATTTTTTATGATCTGAGATTTACTTTTGAAAACATTTATTCCTGTTTCGAGGATTTTTGACAATGAAGACGACATTTTCATATTTTCCAGGAATGTTCGAAAATCCAGCGCCAGGGAAATATTATTCCAAAAAACAAAATCAAAAATATAAACTGTATACGTATGCGTCGAAAAATAATTGATGACTATTGGTTTTAATATCTGAATGATTTGTTTGAAATTAAATTGATTATTTTACGATCCGAGTTGAATGTTGCAACTTTCTGAATTTTTATGGACGCTACATTCTTCAGCATGAGTCGTTTTCAACAATTTTCTCCTTATAGACGCAACAGATAGAAGTAAGATTAGTCTATACCCCCTTTCATTTTTCGCGAACACTCCCTTTAATGATTTTGGTAAGAAAGAAGAAAGTTGTAGGAAACCAAGAATTTAAAGAATATGATTGAACAGACCACGTAGAGCTCATGCTTCAGTAGGAAACTGTCTCGCGGATTTCTGTTTTGCTTGGATGAAAAACAGGTTTTTATGGGGGGGGGGGGGATAGGACAAATATCCTAGATTAAAAACAAATTTTGCAAATCCCTAATTTTAAAACTTCACTTTCAAATCTCTTTTCAGACAAATGTTTTTATTCAAATTTGAAATAGTCTTGTTTTTCATCTAGATACCAAACTCTATATATCCCATTATACATAAAAGTTTTTCTATATTCCGGAGATACCAGCTCTATGCATTACTGTATTCCGTAGATACCCTCTTATACATTTCTATATTCCGTAGATACCCTCTTATACATTACTATATTCCGTAGATACCCTCTTATACATACCTATATTTCGTAGATACCCTCTTATACATTACTATATTCCGTATATACCCTTTTATACATCACTATATTCCGTAGATACCCTCTTATACATTATTATATTCCGTAGATACCCTCTTATACTTTACTATATTCCGTAGATACCCTCTTATACATTATTATATTCCGTAGATACCCTCTTATACATTACTATGTTCCGTAGATACCCTCTTATACATTACTATATTCCGTAGATACCCTCTTATACATTACTTTATTCCGTAGATACCCTCTTATACTTTACTATATTCCGTAGATATCCTCTTAAACATTACTATATTCCGTAGATATCCTCTTAAACATTACTATATTTCGTAGATACCCTCTTATACATTACTATATTCCGTAGATATCCTCTTATACATTACTATATTCCGTGTATACCCTCTTATACATTACCATATTCCGTAGATATCCTCTTATACATTACTATATTCAGTATATATCCTCTTATACATAACAAATTCAACTTTTTATTTACAGGGTTACCTACAAAGGGTTAAACTTTTAGGACGAATTAAAACTTTTGAATATGACGATGATATTAGATTTACTTAAGGGGAGTGTTCGCGAAAAATGAAAGGGGGTAAAGGCTTACAGCGAAAATAAACGCTTTTGATCGCTACTAATCTTACTTCTGTCTGTTGCGTCTATAAGGAGAAAACAGGGGTCAATATAATTCCTTTTTCAATCCCATTTGGGATTGAGAAATTTGAAAGAAATGGGGGCAAATTGTTTAATTGGGGGCAACAATTTTTTAAATGATAATTTTTTTAAAAAATGGGGGCATTTTTTTCAAAAATNCCGCCACCTCCCCCGCCGCCCCCGCCTCTTTGTACCCAGTAAGATTGTATTCAATGTTTTGCTTCGTATGCCTATATTTGGTGATGATAGTTATCTAATGCATGGGAGAGGTTAAACTCCTTAGTACAATTATACAGAATAATATTTGAAATCTTAAACTGTTGAATAAATAATAGTTTGTCGACTACGCAATGCATGGACGGGATTGCTTTCTA